TCAAGACCATGAAAGACAAGCGCGACTCCATATTAAGACAACTGGAGGGCAAACAGTGTGTGGACACCAAAGTGATAGCTCTGTTGCTCAAGTCATTCGTGGATCAACTGCTCGACGGATCCGATATGAAGCCCGACGTGGATATCATAGCTCACGTGCGACATGACTGCCACCGAAACAGCGGTTCCAGCCCTTCGACGGACAACGATATTGAGCTCAAGACACGGATCAAACAGTTGGAGGCGAAGGTGGAGCGGGAGGTGAGAGACAATCAGATACTGCACAGCCGTCTGCAGACATTTGGTGCCAAAGAAAGCGATTACAAGAAACAGATCAAAGATCTCACGACACGACTCGAGAAGTAATGCCTCTTTGAGTCAATAAGTTCTTGAGTTTTGATTGAATTGTTTGTTTGCTTCGGGTTTGCGTTTAGATCCCAAGAAATAGAGACCCAATTGAAGACCAAAATAAACGAATTAAACAATAAAACAGATATCAATGAAAGCAACCCATCATTTGACCATCAGATCAGATACCGGATTAACGAAGAACTCATTCGCCGACACTCTTCGCCGCGAAAGACTGAAGTGATGTTCAAAGAGACAAACGGAGCGACAGATGAGATACAGGACGTGGAAACGGAATCCGATTCGGAGGAAGTCGAAGACCAGTTGATTAAGAAGTGTTTGAATACAAAACTGTTCGTTAATATCGACAAAATTAATGGATCTCCTAATAAGTCAAACCTTATGAATGGCCACAAAGTCGACGAAATAGACATTTCTGACAACGAATCGATGGAAGAGATGTCGAAACCGGAGGCATCGACTCCATCGCCGGAGAAGTCACCGAAGAAGGGCCCGAAATACTCAATAAAATACACTCAAATCAATGAATGCACGTATGTTTGCAATTCATTGGGATGTGATTTCATCTGTTCCTCCATACGGGACATCCGATGGCATAACCGTAACGATTGCGCCGACACTCCCTTCCAGTGCGATGTCTGCCAATTGATGTTTCAGCACAACTCGTCTCTCAAGTCGCACAAGAAGTTCAAACACCCGGAGAGCAGACAAACACGCAGTGAAGACCAGACGCCAACCCGTCGTAAGAGGAGTCGATCGGTTGAGGCGACCACTGATCGACAGTTGCGACAGAATCGACGCCAAACACAGATCTTCAGCCCTGTCTTCCCTAAGAGATGGAAGAGAGAACCCATCGATTTGACGGTTTAAGTCATTCATTGTCTCATCGCTTCACAAGTTTTCCTTTAGTTTTCCAAAAACTGGTTTAATATATAATTTAGGATTAATCTGTTGTTTGTGTGATTACCGTACAATCCAATGAACGCATACTTAATTACAAATTTAAGACATATTTAGGGGTAGGAGTCAGGCAGTTGTAGTAGTGGCTATTTGTTTCATTTAAAACTTTGGACATTACAAATGATATTGTATTTTAGATGCGAAACTTATTTAATTGTGATTTAACTCTAAATTCCTGTACTTATGGGCTCTTTTGTTATGAATTTAAAAATTTCATTCATTTTCCTCAATTTTTATCATATTTTAATTTCATTATATTACATAACTTTGAAAATTCTATGCAAATTTGATCTGTGCATGTACCAAATGTCACTTTTCTAGACCAATGAATTAAATATAAACAAATTAAATCATTTCTAATGTTTTGTACAACAGCTCAATGTAAAGATAGAGCACATGATATGTTATGTCAGTTATGATCACATTTCAAATAAATCAGCTCTTGTTTGTCGTGTGTTTAAACATGTATACCATCTCTGGTACAAAGTATGATCAGTACTTGTGATGTTGTCATCGCAAGTGATAAAAGTCTAGAAGTACTTTAAAGTTTGATTTGTTTATACAATAATTGAAAAATTGTGAAACATATTCACTGATATGATTAGATATGTACTATAAAGTGCATTTTTAATGCAATTACCGGTAATAAACACTAATTTATTTTTTCATTTATATTAAGAATAATGAATTCTTTCATAAAGTTATCAAATTTTATTTCAAGATCTTTATTACATATGATTTGATTTGAACTCAAATTGATTACAACATAGCGTTTCATAATCTTATGTCAAATCAGAGTATGTTTTGCTGCGACAAAGTCTCCTTAAGATTGAAGTAATTTTTGTAATTTATTTCTGCCATCCCCTACAAGAGTTGATAGAAAATGAAAATTAATTGTTAAATTAATTTATACCAGGTCCAGTTGAATTTCAATTGTATACAAACCAGCATAACCTGTTTATTAACAGGCATACCATCATCATTCTCATCATTTCTGATGCAATACATTATAATCCACATAAAGGCTACTAAACAAAAGATTTTCGCCTCTTTGAGTATCTGATTATAAGAATTGTTATCATTGTCTGAATATTTTGTGCCAAATATTTGTACGGATTCTTCGATATAAGCCTTAATAAGCGGTTCCAACACTGTATCCGTCGGTAAGGTGTAGAAAGTGTTGTAATCACTGAAAGCTCGGCCCCACTCCACAAATATGGTCCCGAAATCAAAGCCTCGGTAACCATAACCAGAATATTCTAAATCACATATAAGTATCTCATCGTTGGGTTCGGTAACCATTATATTACTGCCTCTGAAGTCGATATGAGTGAACACTACAGGACTCTTGCATCTCATGATCGCACTCTTTAACCATTCAATCTCTGCCTTAAGATCGTGTGTCTTAAGTGTTTGGCAATTATATTCATCAATGAGTTCATTGATTGGGAAGTCTCTGAATCCTATTTCATAGAAATTGTCGAAATAGTCAAAAATCCAATTATTGGTGCGTTTGATGGGCACATCCAAAGCGTGCAGTTTTGCCAATTGTCTGAACAATTGTGTCGACAATTTGGGATCATTTTGTTCATTCAATCTGAACTGTCGGTGCTTTATATGAATTGACAACATTTACATCCAGTACATTTTCTATGACTATAATGAATACCTTATAAAAGTGCAAAATCTGTCCGCTTTCAAAGATTCCGTATATTTTTGGTCCCAAATTAATATCGGCTATCATTACAGCGATAATAACGTCAGTGAGTCTCTCGTTGTCAGTATTGTCTAAGTTATTGAACTGTTTGTTGCCATATATTCTGATCACCACTTCTTGTGGCACATGGCTTGTAGTCGAGGGCTTAGATATGGCCACGAAATACATCTGATTAGACAAACCACCGCTCAGTCGCTTGAATTGAATGGTGTCCACAGTTTGTTGTATCCAATTGTGTGCCAAATAGTCTTTACATGACTGCAAACACTTCTCTTTGATGTCATCGGGAGTATCGCCCTTAAGAAGTGCTATATTTTCAAAATCAAACTCTTTCACACTCTTTATGTCTCTCATATTCTTCAAGTCTTTGCATTCATTTTGTTGCAATTCTGTAGAAATTCTTTGTTCACAACTTGAAGACATTTTTAGGAAATTATTTTAATTCTACACTTTTGTAACTATTGGCACATTAATTAGTTTACACTAAATTGACTTTCAAATTCTGCACTTATATATCGTAATATTTATTATCTAAATAATCATTAGATAGTATTTTATTAATATTTCTGTATAATATTTAGTTTAAAACTAGACTAATACAACATAGACTAATCCAACATAGAATTATCAGTCCTAAATTACAGAACTTAATTATTATAAATAATATACTGTATATAGATTAATAATATGTATAAAATTAAAGTACGGCAAAAATTCATGTGTTATTTTTTGTTAAAACTGAATTTATCTATTACTATTTAGTTTCAATTTTAAGCTAACTATTAAAAGTCAGTTAAAAAAATAACAGAATCATTTGAATTAAGATTGCTGCACCGTTTTCTCGTTACATTGAACAACTTATTGAATATGTTATGAAAATAAAGTTTTAATTTTAATCCAAGTGCCAATCTGAAATTAGGACTAACGCAAAGTAATTTACATATGCCCAGGTCAAAGAATGTGTCATATGTCAATTATGAAAAGTAATTGATAACTTAATTTTAATTTAGCATCCATATTAACCAAAAAAGTTTTAACATTTGGACATACTGGGTATTTATTTTGGAAAATTATTTCATATATACAGTACATGTATAACTTATTACGGGTCAGAAAGGTAAGGATAGCTAAGGAATCGGATTTTAATATCAGGTCTTCTAAACAATAAATTAACCAGTGTTCAATTATTGATTTATCAGTATTTCTGATTCAGTAAATACGATATGTTTTGCAGTATTTTTAATCATGAATTTACGTTTATTTAACGTTTACTAGTAATAAGGTTGTCATAACAATTTGCATTTACCTTGAAAATAATAACATATAAAAACAGGTATAATATTTGTTTCATTGTTCATATCGTTAGCGCTCTGAATATAACAACTTTTTGACAAACATTTAGTGAAAACAATTGACTGTCGAGTGAAGAGAAGAATGTCTGAAGAGTTAACTAAACCGAAGAGTTTGAAAGACTGCAAAAGTGTCGATGAAATAGATTTAGGAAAAGTGGAACTCATTAGAGGTGACACTCCGGAGGATATCAAACAAAAGTGTCTCCAATTATGCAAAGAGTATTTGGGCCACAATTGGTCGCAACAAACTGTGGACACAATAGGCTTCAGACGAATAACCGGAGGTATGACTAATCAGTTGTATTACTGCGGAATCGCTGAGCCCTCGGCCACCAGTAGTGCCCCTCAAGAGGTGGCCGTCAGACTGTATGGACCCAAATATTTCAATAATACCGATCACGAGGGCAATGAAAGACTGAAGGATACTATCATTGCACTCATGACCTCCGAGAATAAATTGGGACCAAAAGTATACGGTTTGTTTGAAAGTGGACAAATCCTCAAGTATTATCCAGTAAGTTTAACTGTAATTAATTTTGGCATTAATAACAAGTAGTCATAAAATTTGGTTTTATTTCATATGAAAAGCACCGGCAGTTTCGGCTGAAGGAGCAAAATAACCCGAAACTGGCGGCTCAAGTGTTCAAGAAGTTGGCCGCAGTTCACGCCATGAAAGTTCCCATTAAAGTGAACACAAACTGGATTTTTGATGACTTCCCGAAATTCTACGAAACGGGTTATAAGAAGTTTCCAATCAATCAAATGATTGAAGACTTAAATTGCGAGACATTGAAGAAACACGATCTCAAAGAAGAGATGCAATGGTTGTTCAATGCAATCACCAAAAGCAAGAGTCCGATAGTGTTTTCTCACCACGACTTCAGAGGCAGTAATATAATGATTACTGAACCCAACGATGAGATAATTCTTTGCGATTTAGAGTCTTCTAGTTATGGTTACCGAGGCTCTGATTTTGGGTCTATAGCTCTCGAGTGGGGCCGGGATTCGAGTGAATTCGGCAAACCTTATAGAAAATATCCAAACGACGAGACACTCAAAGCACTTATAAAGGTATATATCGACGAATCGGAGCGCATTTTGGGCCCAAAATACTCGCAAAACAAAGTCAACTCAATGGACCAAATCCTTAAGGAAGTGAAATTGTTTTCAATGGTTGGGAACATGTTTTTTGTGCTCTTTTGCATTCAAAATGATGAAAATGACAGCACAGGCTTTCCCGTCGATAAGAAAGTGTTTATGGTTTGTATTGAAATCAATTCAGTAATTGTATTCATATGTAAATTATTTTTTAACTTTTTTTGTAGAAATGGGGTGACAATAGTTATGGCGACTATTGGTATTTGAAGGAGATCTTTATCAAACAAAATGTGTTTGATTAACAATTATTAATTTTTAATTAAAGATAAATCAAACTATTTTACCTAGAATTTTTTATGTAATTTTTGCATACAATTTAGTTTTAAGATTAAGTCTGATATAAATTATTGCAAATAAAAATATATTAATTATCGGTATTTGTTATAATTTATAAAGAGAATTAAAATATGTATGCAGTTTAAGTTTACTCTTTATTTATTTAATGTAAAGATTTCATGTATAAAAACATGTTATTAAAAATAAACACACAATATGTAATATTATAGTACAGTATAATCAGGAATCTGATTCAGGATTGATATTGAATAATAAATTAAACTCTAAAAAACATTCATTTAAAAATTAATTTACCACATAATTGATATGAGACTAAAACAACTTTTTAAAATAATGAAACAAATTTGTATTTTAATGCCATAAACCATAAAAGCATAATTATTATTGTAGTGTATTATAATATCATTAATATTATAATTTAAAAAATATTTTGGGCCACAAACTGATTCTTGAGATGGAAATAGTTTTTAAAACAAATATCAGAGAAACCCTATAAATGAAAATGTTAACAACGATCAGTATATTACTCGCAAATGCATACAAATAAGGCATACATACCATCATTACTTTCTTATCCATTATCTGTTCGTTGTTATCATCATTTTGTATACCAAACAAAATGAAGAATATATTGCCGATCAGTACAAACAGTTTCACTTCTCTCAGCAACTGATCCATTGAATTGTTTTTATTTTCCAAATACTTTTGGCCACAAATTCTCACCGATTCGTCGATATAGTGCTGAAGCAGTGATTCAATCGCCGAGTCTTCGGGAAAGTCGTGTAGTTTTGTTACATCGTTCATAGCACGACCCCATTCCACGAGAATAGTACCAAGATCAAAGCCCCGGTACCCATAGCACGAGTATTCAAAGTCGCAAAGTACTATCTCATCGTTGGAGTTGTTATTGTTTTTGGTAACCATTATATTACTGCCTCTGAAGTCATTGTGACAGAAGACAATCGGACTGTTGATGGCAACCACAGTCTTCTTAAGCCATTCGAGTTCCGTCTTGAGGTCGTGTTTCTTGAATGTCTCGCAATTGAGTTCATCAATCAATTTCTTTGTATCGCCATTCATTCCCTTAGTATAATAGTCATCAAAGAATTCAAACAACCAGGATGATGTCTTTCTTAGGGGCACATCCATGGCGTGCACTCGAGCTAATGCACCGAATAATTGTGTCGAGAGTTTAGCATTATTTTGCTCCTCTAATCTAAACTGTCGGTGCTTTGAATCAAACAAATGATAGGTTTTATTGCTTATAACAGAATTAACTAAACAAATGATAGGTTTTATTGCTTATAACAGAATTAACTAAACAAATGATAGGTTTTATTGCTTATAACAGAATTAACTAAACAAATGAATACCTCATAAAACTGTTGGATCTGTCCGTTCTCGAAGATTCCGTGTATTTTTGGCCCCAATTTATTCTGTGAGACCATAAGCGCAATGATAACATCAGTGAGTCTCTCGTTTTTCATGACATTGCCATTATTATCCAGATTATTAAACCATTTGGGGCCATACAATCTTATAGCAACCTCTTTCACATCACTCTCATTTGTGGCACAATTATCATTGAGAGCGCAATAGTATAACTGATTAGTCATTCCTCCACTTAGTCTTCGGAAGCTAATTGTATCGAGAGTTTGTTGTTCCCAACTCTTGGATAAGTAATCTTTGCATAGCTTCAGACATTTCTCTTTGATATCTTTTGGTGCTTCGCCTCGAATTAGTTCCACGTCTTCGAAGTTGAACTCTTCCACACTTTTTAAGTCTTTTAAACTCTTTTTCACTTTTACTTCCTGTGGGTTAGCGGTTGTGGCCATCGTTTCAATCAATATATTCTTAATGTTATTACGAGTATAGGAATCAATTTAATCAATGGAAATGTGTATGAATTTAAAAAGTAGTGGTATTTTATACAATAATCTCAAGGACTAGGCTAAGTGAGCAAAGTGTTAGATTGAAGGACATTCATGAAATAATTATGTGTAATAGCAAACTTATGATTTATATAATAACATGTTAAAATCTTAGTGCAATGAGGTTGTTTTGCCCTTTTAATCAAATATGTAATCAGCTGATAATTGACCAATAAATTAATTTATGAAAAATCTTATCATATAATTTCTTTTATGTATTTATTGATTAGACCAAGTGCATTACTTACTTTGACTAGTCGTGTGCTATACTCAGTATACATTATAGTGAAATTCTTAAACAATTTAATCATTTTGTAAGAAATATGTTTTTAGTATTCTTTTATTTATTATCAAATTATGTCTATGGTTTATACTAGTTTATAAATTATTAATCATTTTCGCTATAATAACAAAGAATTAATATAAGCATAAATATTGATTCAGTAAAAATAATCGGGTTTACTATTTTAAATTATATTTTTATGAAACAAATGTTTGTTCATTTAGCTAATGATTTCAATAATAATTTAAATGTTATTTAAAAACTATAATAATAAAAATACAGTATAATAAAATTCTAATAAAGTAAGATATACTTTATAATATATAAATGTTTAATCATGTAGATTTTTAATATAATTATTACAATGTTATAAAGGGTATTTTAGACACAAACAAAATAATGATGGGGTGGTGTTTAAGACGAGGTCACTTCAATCAATTAGTTTAAGTTGTTTGAGTCGATCCTTAAGGATTAAATAATTTTTGTACGAAACTTCTGCCATTTGCTGTCAAATGAAAAGTTGCGAAATAGTCAATTATTTACTCCCACTTACAAATGTTAAATGTTAAGATTAACAAACAATAATTCCTACCATGATAAGACCTTTATCAAGTTTTTGATTAACGGACGTACCCTTCATAACCATAACCACCCAAAAGAATTGTGCGATTAATACAAATGTCTTGATTTCTCGGCCGATGTGCTCCACGGAATTGATGGGGTCTTCGGAGTATTGTTTGCCGTGTATTCGCTCGCATTCTTTGATATAGATTTCAATTAACGGATTGAATACCGAGTCCTCTTGCGGGAGACCGTCGACAGTGAGTAAATCAAACTGTTTTCGGCCCCACTCTCGAGACAATTGCGAGAAATCGAGACCACGAAAGCCGTACGAAGAGTACTCGTAATCGCAGACAACTATTTGGTCGCCAGGATTGCGGGTGTCGTCAGTGATCATCAAATTGCTGGACCGGTAGTCGTTGTGCGCGAATACAGTGGGACTCCCGGTCTTCACAGCGATCTTCTTAATGAATTCAATTTCGCCCTTAAAATCGCATGTCTTTAATGACTCGCACGCGTAGTCATCAAACATTTTGGTGGCGTTATTATCGGCCATCCATTTGTAACAGTCGTCCAATTCGTTGAACAGTTCTTAATGAATTCAATTTCGCCCTTAAAATCGCATGTCTTTAATGACTCGCACGCGTAGTCATCAAACATTTTGGTGGCGTTATTATCGGCCATCCATTTGTAACAGTCGTCCAATTCGTTGAACAGCCCGTTATTTGTGCGTTTGATGGGCACATCCATGGCGTGAATTCGGGCCAACTTCTGAAACACTTCGGTCACCAGTTTGGGGTCTTTTTGCTCCTCGGGTTTGAACTGTCGGTGCTTTAAAAATAAAATAAAATTATAAATAAAATATTTTATTATCAATTAGTATCAAGATTATTTTACTTTATAGTAGTGCTGTATCTGTCCGGTCGGAAAGATTCCGTACACTTTTGGGCCCAACTTATTGTCGGAGACTATGAGCGAAATGATGACATCCGTCAGTCTCTCATTGCCCTCGCAGTCCACTACACCCATGGCAAACCCAGGTATGTCAGACTACCGGTGGAGAACACCATGTAGGCTAAGTAACGAGAATAAAAAATATGGTGTTTTCATATCGACTAATCACTCAGGAGGTCTATAAGAAACGTGAAGTTACCACAGGACAGTTTGCTGACTCCAATTGCCGGACAAATACTGTTGACACAGTTGTAGGCATTGATCCTGGATGTCTTTAGGAGTGTCACCGATTTGTAGATCCAATTTATCAAAGTCTAAATCATCGATAGACTTGACGTCTTCAATCTTTTTCAGACCATTGTTTGCAGCCGTTTCTGATGCCATCACTTGGTTTTGAGATGTTTTCAAATATTTTGTTGAATCAAGTGCTCTGAAATGGTTCGGAATATTTTGAATGAATCCGGATCTAGTAAAAGTCCTTTTATTTATACATTTCAAGGTTTTTCACACTATGTGTTGTTAAGTGTTGTGAAGAATAATCATATCAATAGTGTATTCATTGTACGATAACTGAATATATAGTGAAACTTAATTCACAATATTCTAGTTGAGTGCAGAAGGGACACCACGTCCTTCATACAGTATATCATAATACTGTTAAATCATTACATGTATTGTATAGCATGTACATCCCTCGGAGCAAACGCTTTACTACTTTGTCAGTAGTTATATGAACCCAAAGAATTTAGACAATTTATCTCATTATATAAGTTAGTGAATAATAGTTTTGTTTATTAGCCAAATTAAATAGTTTAGAATATCCTTAATGTGTTAATAATTATACATTTATCTCATTGAATATTAATCTTATTCTTGTGATAGTCTTGTATAAACACAAACAGGATTTGTTGTGAACATAAGTAATACATCCGGTTCTCAATTTCACTTAAATTCTGTGAATTTTAAATTAAAATCTTATTCACTAGTCAGTAATAATAACATAACAGATTTATATTTATTGCTAAATGATAACAAGTAGCCTACAGCTTAAAAGGGCAATAGTGTTATGAGATACATAAGTAAAAAGTAAAAGATCTAGTTTTTATACAGTATATATAGGCTTTATTATGAACCTTACAGATTACTGTTAGGTTAACTAATAGGATTTCTATGGTTACTGTTAAACTACTGAATGAATTGGTTCTTTGTATTGGACAGAACATATCCAGATCAATATTGAACATTACCGACTAGTGCCAAGGTCAGGGCTGGTAATAATTAGTTTGAAAATTGTTTGTAAGACCGGTATGTATACAAAATGACAAAAATGCAAGAATAATTAATTTGATGATTTTTTATTTGTATTCAACAAAAAATATATTGATAAAATAAGGATTTCAATTCATTTAATTTGTGAATAGCATGTATAAATATTATAGTTAGATTAAATACATTTCTAACTAAATATTTAAACATTTATTAATTAAACATTAAATAAAACAATTAGACAAAACTTTAAAAAGTATTTATGATTTTTGTCAAATTAATTTTATAATTACAATATAACAAGTAATGGGTTTATTTAATTAGGTTATTTAAAAATCTTTATAATTCTTACTAATACAGTATTAAAATATTATTTTTAAAAATTTTAATTTAGTTACAATTAAATGAAAATGATATTTAATTATAACAACATATAGAAATTGATCTTATATAATCCATGTGACCGAGGTATTTACTAATTCAGTCAATAACTTTCAAGTTTCTTAACCTCTCCTTCAGAATTAAATAGTTTTTGAACGAATTTTCCGCCATTTCCTATAAACAACAATATATTAATTAATTAAATTAATAAAAAATCATATTTACCATGGCCAATTTTGTTGAAAATATCTTGCTAGTTGTTATAGTTTTAATAATTAAAATACTCCCAAAAAATGTCCAGATCAATTGGAAAATTTTAATTTCTTTCACAATGTGTTCGACTGAATTGATTCTGTTTTTGGAGAACTCTTTGCCATAAATTCTTTGCGTAAGGAATTGCATATAGAGTTGGTTACCTAACTTATGTCTCAGCAGAACACCCTCTGGTAGCTACCTGAACTTTAGTTTGACAAAAGCAGGGGTAAGCGACTCATATCTGTGTTTTAGTTTCGGGCGGAGACCATAACTGGCGTACTCGAAATCACATACAACTATCTGATCACCAGGGTTATTACTGGTGTCAGTAATCATCAGATTGCTTGACCGGAAATCGTTGTGAGTGAACACGTGACCTGAGAGCCTGAAAACCGTATTTAGGAATTATATAAGCTACACACGGAATTTTAGCGTAAGAAAATTATCAAACGTTAACATAAGTAGCTCGGTAACTAACATCCTTTGCGACAATAGCTGTGTCCATTTGTACGACTCATACATATCATTGATGAACCAAATGGTGCCGCGTCTGATGGGTACATCCATGGCGTGAATTCGGGCCAACTTTTGAAACACTTCTGTCACTAGTTTGGGATCTTTCTGTTCTTCAGGTTTAAACTGTCGGTGCTTTACATATAAGAAAATATCATTAATAAACCTTTCAATCAAATTACTGAATATACAATACAATACATGATAAAACTGTTGTATTTGTCCGCTTTCGAAGAGTCCGTATATTTTAGGCCCCAATTTGTTTTCTGATATCATAATCGATATGATAGTATCGGTGAGTCTCTCATTACCCGGGTTCTCACCCTTATTAAAATGCTTGGATCCATACAGTCTGATGGCCACCTCTTGTGGCACATCTGACTTATTCAATGGGTTTCTAATCCCGCAATAATACAACTGATTAGTCAATCCTCCCGAAACTCTTCGCACTTCAATTGTATCCAATGTTTGTTGCGTCCAATTGCCCGACAAATAATCCTTACATAACTGTAAGCACTTATTATTGATGTCTTCGGGTGTGTCTCCAAAAGTGAGATCCAGTTTATCGAAATCCAAATCATCGATTGATTGGATGTCTCCAATCCTTTTCAGACTGTTCTGGTTCTCATCGCATATATTCTCAGTAACTCCTGATGACATGGTTTGTGATTAAGATAATAGAAAAACTTTTGTAAAAATATACTTTAACAAATCCTTGTGTTAATATTTTTATAGTTTGTTATTTTCAAAAACTTTCCTTTAAGTAACTATCAATTTATTAGCTCTAATATTCGTGTGCTAAATTACTAATGAAATATTAGCAATAGATTATTGAGCTATTGTAAAGTATTCTGTACTAAATTACCATACTTTTGATCAAACTCTATTGAAATAGTGACGGGCTTAACGTAGCATGTTAGAATCAGTAGTGCATTGAGTTCGTAATGCACTATCCAAGGTAATGCAATTCAAGGCACAGGGTAATGGTCAGATGATGATATTTTTGACAGTTTTACATAATACAGAATTATAAACAATATTATCAATCCATTTCTAGATTCTAGTATATTCTTTAATAATAATTGTGAAATAATTTGTGTTATAAACTTTTATTTTCTTATTTCAACAAATGTTTATGATTATAGTCCAATTCTATGATTGTCAATCTGTTTATTATTATAGTTTATTTTGAAATTAAGTACTTATTTTTATGACAAATTAAATAATTATCTAAATTAGTTTAGCTAATTATGAAATTAATATTTAATACTATTATAAAAATACGTTTCGGGTATTATTTGATAATATAACCATTTGACATACCTGTAAAATAATGTTAAACTCATAAAACAATATTAAAACTGTTAAAATATAAAAGCCTGGTTAAGGTACAGTTTTTATTACAGTATTATTAAAAATGTTAAGAAATATAATTAGAAGTATCTAAATATGCACTCAGAAATTAATTTTATATTGATTTTAAACTTTGAGTTGCATATCTGTACAATTGTTAAATAAAATGCGCTAATCTTTGTTTAATTAATTAAAAATATTTTTAAAATTATTTAAAAATGTTAATCAAAAGCATTTTGTTCAATGAATGTATTCTTTATACGCCAATAGTTTTTATATTCATTTTCTCCCAATTGCTGCAAACAAATGAAACAAAAAAATATAAATTATTAAACAACGAAATGATTGTCACAACTCAAGGTTTTCAATATTTATTTCTAACCATTATTTATAAAACTGTTTGTTTTGTATGACTAATAAATAAGTTATTTGAATTAGAAATTAATTTATAGGTATATAGAGGTATACAAACAACACAATACAAACCATTAGCAACTTTTTATCCATAGGAAAGTCATCATTCGCTTGATCCGTTTTAAGAAAAAACAAAAGCATAAATATTTTGTAAACCAATGCAAAGAATTTCACTTCTTTTAACAGCTGTTCCATTGAATTCATCTTATTTTCAGACCAACTCTTTCCGAAAATTTTCTCATTTTCCGAGATATAGTACTGAAGTAATTGTTTGATCACAGAGTCTTCAACAAAGGTATGGACAGATAGGAAGTCATTCCAGAGTCGACCCCATTCGTTGATTATGGTTCCCAAGTCCAGTCCCCTGAACCCATAGCTGCCATATTCAAAATCACAGATAACTAACTGATCCCCAGTTGCCGTCTCATTGTCTAAAACCAATACATTAGAGCTGAGCAGATCGTTGTGTGCAAACACGAGAGGACTGTCTATTTTGACGCTCATATCCTTTAGCCACTGGATCTCAGTCTTCAAATCGTGAGTTTTGATTGTCTCACAGCTTAGCTCTTCTATCAACTCATTAATGGGATGTCTTTTGTACGCCTCCTCGTAGTTGAGCTCAATCTCTCTGAAGAGCCAGTGCTTCTTCGGGAGGGGGACGTCCAGGGCGTGGAATCGAGCGATCTTTCGGAACAGTTCCTCAACCAGTTTTGGGTTGTTTTGCTCCTCGAGTTTGAACTGTCGGTGCTTTTGATAGAGAAATAATTGTTATAAAATACACAGACATTCAATTAACTGATGAATACCTGATAGTAGTGTAGGATCTGTCCGTCTTCGAAGAGTCCGTATATTTTTGGTCCCAATTGTGTCTCCGATAGCATCACAGATGTGATGACATCACTCAGGCGTTCACTTCTCCTATCTTTCGATCTCTCATTTCCATCACTATTCAGATTGTTATACCATTTATTGCCATACAATCTGATGGCCACCTCTTGAGGTGCAGTGGATGTAAGTGAGGGCTCATTGACTCCACAATAGTATAACTGATTACTCAAACCCCCAGTAATTCTTCGGACTTGTATTGAGTCAACGGTTTGNAACAGTATTGAATTCATGTTTATAATTTTAAAACATCATTTTCCGTTACAGTTTAATTGTATATCAAAACATATTTTGCTATTTTTAATGAACCTCATTTGTCTAATATATTTAGTGAAGAAATCATTTTAATATGTCATACCGTTTTCCTGTTATTTGATTTTAAATCATAAGAATATAAAACGATCTAGTGCGTTAATCCAAACAGTTAGAAAGCTAATATTTCATAATTTGTCATTAAATGTATCATATATCAATATGATAATAACTACAATTCATTCCGTGAATGTAAAATTTGGACCTGGACATGGTGTTTTATTATTCATAATAAATTTTTTCGTCTATTAATAAAGGTTTGAGTGTTTTATGAATTGAATTCTTGTCTGAAATTATTATAAAGGATTAAAATTTTGAAAATCAAAAACTGATTAAAATAGTGAATAAGTTTTGTATTACTCACAGAGATACAAGTGGCCGTCTTTTTGTTACACACTTTTATTTCCACTTTTCTGGAGATCCTAAGTATAACTTATAATGAATATATCAATAAAAACTCAAATATATTCACAAACTATTTAAAAATTTGATTTAAATATAGTTTTAATATAAAAAAGAATCACAAGATTATAAGTCACTAAACATGAATTTTATGTAAAAATATATAAATTAGATAAATTATAATTTCAATTTGTGTATTTCACCAGGTTAATCAGAATCAGTCTTAGGTGCTGACTCGTTTTTGCTTTGAAAGGAATTTGGATTATTTTTTGCCAATTTATTGCCCATATCTATGAAGTAGTTTTTATGTGCCTTTTATCGACTCATTCTCTCCTTTTGTACTTTTATTGTACAGTTGTGTCACAACTAGACATCCGACTCCCACTACTATTAGTAAGACAATAGCAACTGCCATTGCAATGGCCACCCCACTCAATCCCTGGCCCTTAGCTATCAAGTCGCTGGGAGTGGTAGCAATGGTTGTGGTGGTTGGCGCTCGGGTTGTCATTCGGTTTAAATTTGGACACAAATTTGCGGCAAAATCTTTAACCACTAATTGTGACCACTCTTTGGACACATCGACTGAGAATCTGTTGGCTATGAAAGTAATGGTGTCTCCGATCTTATAAGCATTGGTTATATTAATGGTATCGATTTGGCGATAAAATTCAATGTCTTTCAAAGTGGGATCATTTCCGCTGAACAGTCGTATCTGATCTCCATTTCTGATCAAATAACTGGTGTTTTGGGTGTAATTTGGGTTCACCTGTAAGTGAATACTAACGAACCCTTCGGTGGGTTTATTGCTCGCAACCAACA